TTATTTAGTATTATTAGGTTGCAGTAGATGTGTTTATTGCCTTATTTACAGACGTAAGGATGGTTTTTCTTAGGAATCCAGACTTCAGTATAATAATCTATATTTCAAGTGCATGATGCTGTTAAGGATAAAACACTCAATTATGATAATATTCCGCCACAACACTTCACCCAGAACCTCCTCGTCGACATCCATCCCAGGTCCGCCATTTTCACCTCTTATACTGCCAATCCCTCTTCTCGGTAACCTACCTGCTGAGTGTGTTCAATGAACGTTGATAAAAACACTTACCGGGAAGATGTCGATTAGGATATCTTTAAGAGCAGAAAAATATTTTTCAGTTAAAATTATACATAATACTGGAAATTAAACCACTTTAAAGCATCTTTCTGGGCATAATGAAACAACTAACTCCAAAGGCACAAAAAATAGAAAACCAATAAACACTCAACGCGAAAATAACTATAAAACTCAAAATACAAGAAAGAAGAGCCACTTAACAACTACTGACTTTTAAAAATTACAAAATTAGGCACAATGTATCAAATCTGCTTCTTCTAGTGTTCATTTGAGTTTGTCAATCAAAATATTTTGATTATGATCTGCTGCAACATACTAATACTCAGTAATACTCCGGCACATCACACTCGGTTAGATCGAGACCATTTCAATTACAAAACTGCAGCATTCATAAAGGTAATTCCATTGCCACCCAGATCGTTGGACCTAAATCCACTAAACTTGTTTATTAGGGTTGCTTTATATACCAAGCTGTGCTGACCACAGTAACAGAATTTAGTTCCAAATTTGAGGTAACCTTGAGCATTCGAGCGGTTATTTTTTGTAAGTTAAAAAATGTTTTATGACAAAATGTAGGTCATGCATAACAGTAAATTGTCATTTAACATCAATCCCGTCTATTTAAACCAGTTTAAAAAAATGAATGCTGAAAATCTCAAAAACTATAAGGCTTTAAATAAAACAAAATTTTACCATCTTTTAGGCCAAGGCGCGACCTATCTACAGTTGCAGGATTATCCTTCAATTTCAATGTTAACTCGACAAGTTGGACCATCGAGGAAATATCCCTGAGAGCTAAATTGGAAACCGAGTCGTTCGACCAGAACGCCGTTTCAACCAATAGCAATAGACCGTGTGGAGGGACACGACAACAATTGAATTTATAATAAGCCAGAACAGAACATGCCTGCCAGTTCACCTAAAGATACTTAATAAATCGAACCGTCATGTAACTCAAATTTAGGAAAATCCAAAAGAAAACGTTCGAAACATCCACCTTGTCTATAGACTTCAAAGGCCAAATCTGTCACCTCGATAAAACAGTATCGAGCTGGTTAAGCTACAAAGAAAAACGTAATTTTGCTCTTGCGTCAATTAGGCGTGAAAACGCGGATTACCTATCTTTCTTGCAAGTGCATCATATGTCGAAAGAACTTTGGAGAGCTTTAGATAACATAAATATCGGCGGCTTTACTTCAAAGCCAAGAACTGAAAGTATTCCGTCTCACCTTAATGATCCAAACGCTATAAACGATTATTTTGCATCAGTGTTTCGTTGTGCTCAGTCCAACGAAGCAACATTCAATTTTTATCACAATAACTCGTTTGGCAATCGGAGATTTTCCTTCACTCTGGTTGAGCCTACTACTATCAAAACTCTTGTGAGTGGCCTTAAGTCAAATGCAAAGGGTATTGACGATATATCTCTTTTTATCATTAAGCTATCTCTCCGTATTATACTACCTTACGTGACCTATATTATCAATCTGGGTCTTGAGAAGGGCTACTACCTAAGGTCAGGAAGCCCACCGATTTCTCGGATCTTAGGCCCATCAGTCTTTTAAGTGTTTTCTCAAAGATCTTGGAGAAAATAATTTATTTGCAAATCTTAGATTTTTTAGAGTCAAGTGACATACTCCCAGTACATCAGTCTGGGTTTAGAAAATCATACAGTACTACAACTGCTGTCCTTAATTTAGTGGACAACATCATCAGGGCCCTTGATAAAAAAATGTGTGTCGCCTTAGTTTCACTGGATTTCTCCAAGGCCTTTGATAGAATTGATCACGCACTGATGTGTGCTAAGCTAAAATTTTGTGATGTTGATAAAATAGCACTGCAGTTTTTTAAATCATACCTAACTCGCCATTCTCAGCGCGTCTCACTTTCTGGAGTTTTGTCAAATGAGCACTTTATTACATCTGGTGTGCCTCAGGGCTCAATTTTAGGACCCTTGTTATTTTTTATTTATATAGCCGATATTGCTAAGTCCATTCAAAATTCACAGCTACAGTCTTATGCGGATGACGCTCAACTGCTTTACTTCTTTTATCCTGCGAACCTCCAGACTGCTACTATGGAAATTAACCAGGACATTGACTCTATTTGCACCTACTCAGCCAATAACAACCTAACCGTTAATGCTTCTAAATCTTCTGCTGTGCTGTTTTGTCCAAATCACAGAAGAGCCGAAGTCAAAGCTTCCTTGAGTATCAAAATCTTCCTTTTTCTGAAAGTGTCAAGTGTCTAGGTGTGTTTATTGATGAAAACGTGCGGCTTCGTGCACATTTAAATAACCTCTTACGAAGAAGTTAAATCCGTCTGAGAACTCTGTATGCGAACAAAAATTTGCTGAATTTTAAAGTGCGAAAAAGGTTGTGTGAATCTTTTGTGTTATCAATTTTTAATTATTGCAATCAGTTTATCACCCTTGTTTGGATGTTGCGAGTCGTAACAGAATATCTCTAGTACAAAATAACTGCGTACGATTTATATTTAGTTTAAGAAAATTTGATCATGTTTCGGATCGTTATCCTTTAATAGGTTGGTTAAAGATGACAGATTTAGTTAAATACAACTATCTAACCTAAGTTACTTGTCTCTGGAACTCCAATTTATTTACGTGAAAAGCTAATTTTTATCAACGACCTATCCGTAACACATTCGCTTTAACAATGCCCCTTCATAGTTCATCTCTTTTTAACAGTTCCTTCTCATATAATGCATGCATGTTGTACAATAGCTTAGATTACAGAACAAAAAGCCTGCCGCTGTATAGTTTTCAAAAACACTTAAAAGCTCTTCTGCGCAATGGTGCTTATTAAAGGTGTTTTTCTTCAGCATTATATTTTTAAGCTAACTTTTGTTTAGGTTGTGATCAGTTATATGGGCATTTTCCTCCTTTTATTTTCTTTACAGCTGTACTTTTTTACCACCTATGATTTTTATGCAGTAAATGGTTAAGTGTAAGAATAGCTGTCATACCTAAACTTCGCCATTAAGCTGCTCACTAATCTAATTATAGATAATATGCATTATCTGTAATTTGTTTTTTTTTCCTATAAAAAACGGTTTATTATTATTATTATTATATTGTTACTGTGAAATAAGCAAATTCAAAACGAATAAAAAAGCATTCTCTTATTGTTTTTTCGAATCTTCTTATTTATGGATTTGAGTATTTCAGAGTGACAATGACACATTTTGAGTCTTGATGCTATGACACTAGTGTTGCAACTCGGTCGGCGATCGTGGTTTTCTGTCGGTGTTTCCGCGCGAATCAACATCTTTATTCTTCCGAGGCTAATAACTGCTTCGATCTGAGGTTACCTAATCAGTTTAACCCATTAACGCCCAAATTAAGTTTGAACATGGAAAACGGATATTACGTATATAAGTTAGGTTATTAGGACTAAAATAAAAACTGAAGATCATAAAACTATATATATTTTATTATTTTTTCAGAAAAAATATCTGTACTCATTTGAGTACAATGGGCGAAACCGTTTATTTTGTATGATGTAACTTGAAATATGCACGTTCAATACATAGTGTTGACAAACCCTTGAATGGCATACTGCACATCGTAATTGCTTCTCTAGCTCCGCAGGGAAATGTCCGAATTTATGAAGGTTTTCATTTCTTTGGTGGTGATGAAATTGTGCCGATTATTTTGAGATGCATAGATATATGATCGACAATATGTTGCAAAACCGAATCATCAAAGAAAAGTTCAAATAGTTTAGGATTCAAATCCTTTATCTCTTCCGCTAGTTTATCCCTATTGGCATTCGTTTCACATAACGGTGGCGGCTCAGACCAAATGGAATATTTAGGATTGCATTTCTCCCAGTCCAAGTCATCGCGTTCAGATTCATTTATTTTTATACGTTTCCGCACTTCACTCAAGGCTCTTCGTCGCTGTTGTAGAACTCGTCATTAGCTGAACTTTGGCGAAACAGCTATAAACGACCAGAAAGATCTTGTGGCATTCCATTTGCAATCAGTTGGTTTTCGTCCAATTCCTCCTCGTCAGTGAAATAATGTGCGTCTGGAGGCTAAGACCACAATATCATCGTTATATTTTAGATCATCTAGAGCATCAGGCAAAAAATTGTAATACCCGTATATTTTAACAAGATCATCAAAAAACGGTTTACACATATCTAAAACAAAAAAAATAGCATTAGTCGAATGATAACGAATTTGCCCAGTGTACTCATTTGAGTACAGTCAAACTTGAACGTACATTCTAATTGCATCAAATCAGTTAAAATAATTTATGCCCGGCAAATCAATCAAACAACCTTTACATATACATAATATAAAAAGTTTAGCTTATTAGATGGTCACCTCAATGAAAATAAAAATATGTGAAAGCCGAACTTACCTTAGATCAAATAAGCAATAACTTCTAATACTGTAAAAACAACGTCACACTCACAGAATTTATGAAAAATGGCTCTTGCGCCCTGTCGCATGTACCATCTACAAATGTTTATAAAAGGTAGTATTTCTGTGGGTGACCCAGGGATGGCTCTGATAGGAACAAACACGAGTGTACTCGCTTGAGCACAGCGGGTGTTAATGGGTTAAGTTAGATTAATATTCACAGTTTTTATACTGACATTTTTTCCTTCATTCACCTGATTTTAATGTTTGGTGTTTGCCACATGACTTGCAAATTTTTAATATCGTAGGATATGTCCAGACTGTATCTGCGTGATCCTACTTTGTCATCCGTATTGAACAGCAGTCAGTCAGAAGATCAGAAAGAAGCTTATTTTCTTCAAGAACAAACTGAACTGAATTTGCTGCTGATAGGTGAGTAATAGAAAACTAGACAAAATATCCAGTTTACAAAATATTGTGTATAGTCTTAAGTGCCGGCGACATAAAAACCTAGAGCATCTGTTAGATAGGCGGCCAAATAAGTGCATTTTCCAGGGGATAGCGAACGGCGCCTGCATTTTTGTAAGTGGTACACACGAACGTGTGAAGATTTTAATTTCCGGTCAAACCTATAGGGTCACTATAGTCAACGCCAAACAAAGTGGCGTGCACGTCATCAAGGTGGGTGTGTTGAAAAATTTACATTGTTGCCAAACTTTTTGTAAAATAATAAAATTTATTATTTACATATCTAGGTTTATAAGCAATATTAACCTCAAATGAGAACAAAAATAATAGTATAATAAAATTATAGATCTGTACTTGCATAATCATTAAGTATGACAATTATTGATCAGATGACACTATGAAACTACCATATTTAATTGATAGCTTAAAGGTACTGAATAAAATCCAAATGGGGTCCTCCAAATTTTATGCATGGTATTTATTTTACAGAATTCATACAGAAAAATGCATTCTAAAATTAGGTAAGCTACTGGTGTAAGCTTTTTCTGTACAATAAAGTTAGTCGGAGTTTCTTTCTTCAGCGCTGTCTGAATCTGAATCTTCATCACTCTCAAAGTTGATTATTAAAGGTTCGATGTCTGGTCGATCAAAAATTCGTTCTCTTTCATACCATTTAAAAATTTCTTGCTCAGTATGTCGAACACTATTTTTCCACATGTCTGGGGTAACCGTTTGTAGAGCCTCGTTCCACATATCCGAACAGTCTTTTTCACTGTTACCATCTCTACCAATATGTCTGTTATAGTAACCTTTTGCTATGCCCCAAATTAACTCAATAGGGTTAAATATACAATGGTAAGGAGGCAGACGAAGAACTTTGTGCCCATGTTGTTCCGCCAATTCATCAATCACGTATATTTTAGGTGGTTTGTTTCTAAAAAAGCAGTTATTTTAAGAATAGGAATAAACAAAAGAAATATAAACTGTCGACCAAAATATATATAATTAAGAAGCATTATGTACCGAGCAACAATACTCAATAGCTCTGTTTTAAACATTGTGTTTAAAAATGGTATGTTTTGATTTGTCAACCAGTCTTGGATATTTTTTTTGTCCATGCATTGTTGGGCACTTTGTTCAATATCATGCTGTGATAAGGGGCGTTTTCCAGTATAATCATAGATGGACTCTCCAATTTTTCTAATAACTGATGTTGAAACCATTTCAAAAAATTGTCCTGGTTCATCTCTCCATGGTAATCGCTCAATTTTGTTTTCGAAGAAAATATCGCTTCACTACCCTCAATAAACCCATTTTCATTTCCAGCATGTAATATAATGTATCTAAAATATATTAGTTTTAAATTTTATAGTGCAAATTGTGTAAAATTACATACCTTTTACCATCTGTTTTAATAGCTTTCACGCTTTTTTGGTTTCCATTTTGCCAAGAGCGACCTATGGTCCCATTTTGAAATATCCAAGTTTCATCGAGGAAGACAAACTGGTATAAGGCCTCAACCTTGGCTTGATTGTATTGCCTTAGAAATTCCACCCTTTTCAAAGCTATACTTGGTAGTTCCATGAGCCCTCGTCGCGGATTGTCCTTAAGCCACTTAAATCCAAGATCTCTAAGCAACCGCCTTAAAGACGTGGCACTACCATCAAATAATGCCCTATCTCTTAATCGAGACCATAAAGTTTGTATCGTAACTTGTTCTTCTGAAACCATGTGTAATATGACATTATAATTTAGTTAACAAATTAATGCAAATTTCTGATAAGTTATTATAATAAGATCTTACTTTTGTGATACATATTATAGATCACTTCTCGAATGGCACTTGTATCCAATGTCGCTGTGTTGGTTACACGTTTAATATAACTCCGCTTTTTCTTGGGCGATTCTAAATTTGCATCACTTTTCACACCCTCGGAAATACGACTAACTGTCCTTAAACTAATTTTTAAAGCAGCAGCAACACGCTACAAAAATGAAATAAAATTTCACTATTATTAATATACATTACATATAATTATTAGTAACCTACCTCTTGAACAGCATTTAAAGGCAACAAAGGCCCGTTGTTGTCCCTTTCTTGCTCAAAGTAGTGCATTAACGAGGCCACGAGTTCCTTACACCGACTATTTAACTGTTTGGGCATCTTTATATACCAAAATTGCCTTTATCTACTCGTAAAATGAATAATTTTGTATTGAAACAAACAGTTGTTGATTTACAGTATGCGGGGCCAAAGGATTTATAAAGATTGGAATGCCACAAATTGATTCAGTGTCAAAATTAATACAAATGCCAGTTCCCAGTTTAAATAAGTTTCAAGGTGACAATGTGTCAACGCTGCGAAATCGGTTTAGTGCGTTTACATGTCGATAAGTGATTGGAGCGTTTGCAAACATTTTATTTCGCATAATGCGTCTAAATTTATCAGAAAGCAACTTATGTGATATTTTAATAACAATGTTTATATGACTATTAACCATAATAAGAGAGTAATGACCATTTTACAATTTATATATCACATTAATATGAAACTGCAATAGAGCAATTGTTTGTGATAGAAACCTAGGCATTAGGTCGGGGAATTTTTATCGTGATGACGTGCACGCCACTTTGTTTGGCGTTGACTATAGTAATGGTATATTTAATCGCCGCAAACGCTCATTACTGGGCTGAAGAAAATCTGCGGGCCAAAAATGTATCCATCGATTGTATAATATCATCAGACTTGGAGCCGTATCGTCAGTCGTTCCTAGAATGCAGGACGCCTTTATGGCCTCCTTGATTTCATAATATCTTGTCTACTTCAATTAGGTACTTGTGTGACTGCTTGAGATTTCTAATGAGCCGACAATTCTGATGATAGGTTATGTTTTATTTTGCCGTTTAAGAAATCTTAGACAGATGAATCATATTTTCTTGCAAATATTGTTGATCAGTCAATAATAATTCGCTACATTGAACAAATTCCTCAAGCTGTGGTTCAATCCCATATCAGGTATTAATGATCTGAAAATGAACAATTTAATGCAAATATGTGTATTTATATATGAAAGCCAACAGCTTACAACCAAGTTGTTGCCTGGTGGTAGGTAAGTTATACAATTAATCGTTGCATATTCATATTTATATTCTTATCGCATTTTTTTCAGATGTGATTCATTCTCACAGACTATATGAAATGTTGGATAAGAAACATTGTATCCCAAGTGCAAACTGTATTGTTGATGTCGGAGATGCCGATCACAAATCATTGTTGGACTTTGGAATTATGTAGTGTGTAGCGATTCGTATGTATAAAAAATGTAAACGTGATCTCCTGCCCTATCTGATATTTTTTTTTATATTAGTGGGCACCTTAACCAAAAAATTTGAGGCTATAACTAAAAATTATGATTATAAGTTGCAGCCCACACTAAGTTGTAAAATTTTTAATTTTTCTTGAATTGATGCATATTTTTTGCAGATATAAACCATCCTGATGTTGCATACAAAATTCAGTATTCCATTTCTATTTTGGAAGGATAAAGAGGTGAATGATCTTCCTAAGAAGGGATTTATGCATTTAGGCACTTGAAACCATATTTGAAGGAGCCAGTGTTATAGAAACAAAACGTGAATTTGCTTTTTGTGGCTGATATGTGCTACACTGCAATTTGTAAATTAAAGGTTGGCATAAGACTGGATAATCATAAAAGTTGAAAGCTACCAAGTTGAAGGGGAGCTATGTTAGGCCTGGACAGGGGGTTCTCAAATGGCGAATGGTTAATGTTGCATGTGAGATAGTTAAAATTTCACACGAAACTCAATAAAGTGGCTTCTTGAATATTGTAATCGATTTCTATTGAAAAATCTCACAAAGCTGATGCATGGGTTTGAGATTGAATATG